ATGAAGCCATCCATATATACAGACACAATTTCAACCGAGAGGATGGTTATAAACTCAGCAATCATTGGAAAGATGTCATCAACCACTTTGGGTCATGATTTGATTTGTGTTTTCTTGTCAACCTCCACCGTCAGCAGTGTGGGTGTGTGGAGCAAGGTGCAATGATTACCTGGCAGCCCTTTGATTGGTGTAGACCCACTGGCGGTGTCGTTGTTTCCTCCCACATTAACATCAGCTGCCCATGCTGCTGACCCACGTGGGCTACATTAACATCAGCTGCCCCTGCCCATGCTGCTGATACACGTGGGCAACATTAACATCAGCTGCCCCTGCCCATGCTGCTGACACACTTGGGCTACGCCCATCTCTAAACCTTTATAAACAGTTTGCCTTTAGTGGCTAACCCCACTTTCCTGATGACGACCGCTTGTGTTGAGATCAAAACGTCGTGGTTTTTGTGTTAGTTTTTATTTTAGTTTTATTACTGAAAGAACCAAGAAAAAGTCTACATTGTACTGGTAGGAACCACCTGGTTCCACCAGCCCACAGGGGATTATTGTGTCCGTCTGTCCGTCATGCATCCAAAAATGGGAGGGATCGGGCTGGGTGGGGAGGGTGGGGCTGGGTGGGAGGGGTGGGGTTGGGTGGGGAGGGGTTGGTCACCCCGTGGTGCCCTTATAAAACTCAACGTTTCACCTACTCACGCCGGCTTGTGCCCGCCCTCACAACCCAACGTTCCTACCAGCTCCCTCCGCAGGAATGTGTTAGACTGCCAGTACGCTCACCGAGGTTAAGAACTAGGCTACAGTCTACATGGTAGACTGCCAGTACACTCACCAAACTTAATAACCAGGCTATAGTCTACATTTTAGACTGCCAATACACTAACTCCGATCAAGAACCAGGCTAGTCTACATTAGTGTTTTTGTTTGTATTATTTTCATTTTATTTGTATTATTTTTAATCACTTGATTTTTTTATTATTATTTTCTATCTACGTGACTTTACCGAAAGAACCAAAGAATACCAAATCTGTCTCTCCACAGAATGACATAGCTGTCAAACTATACGGTTTACCCGTATTCTTGTGCAGGGAAATTGAGTTTTCAGGTCCATACGGCGTCCACCTATTTCAATACGGGCAAAAATATATATTTATTGGTGCGTCTCCCTTGTGATGGGACATGGTGGGATGAACGTTTAGATTTTATAAGGGCACGGGGTGATCAACAAGGTCTAAATTGGTCTGTAATAAGGTAGACACTAATAAGGGGTTGACAGGTATGGAATACATTTAAGTAGTTTGCACAATCCTTCAACCACGCAGCTTTCTGGGAGTGAATAACTTCAGCCACATTTGTTCAACACAAACTCTGGACCCATTTCAAGGACCACCTCTGTTAGAAATGGATCCTAACTTGATAAAGTTATGGCCTATATTCTCCACTACCTGCCCCATGTATAATTTATGAATATATAAATTTCACGCTTTATGAGAAAATGTATTAAACTATGCAGTATTGTATTACGTATAGTAGGCATGTGAACTCCTGGACATCTGTGAAAAAGAGCTCATAAGCTCATCGAATTCCTCCAGTCTATATAAAGATTATGATTTTCAGTATTTTCAATACAAAGCTTACAAACTTTTCAGGGAATAATAAAGTATTCTAAAATGTTAAAAATATTACTTCATCCATGTCAATTCACTGCCACGAGAGCCTCTAAATATTGTTGGTCGGTCATGGTTTGACCATACTTCACCAGACTGGTCTGTGCATGTTAGTGAAGAATGTCCAGGACCAGTTCAAATATCACTTGCCACTAATGTTAGCAGTGTCCGAGAACTCAGGAAATCCTATTTAATGTTGCTAACCACCGCTTCAACGATAATGAAAAGCAACATACCAATACGTCTGAAGAAATAAGTATTAAATCAGTCCAGTGCCCAGTTTTGCATATGGTGGGTAAACATGTACACTGACAGAACATATGTAACAGCTTGTGAGTACGTGATAAATTGGGAATTGCACCCAGACAGAAAGAGAAAAGTGGATCAGAGAACAAACAGGAAAACGGCCATCATATTGACAGAGTAAATGGGCTTGCACAGGACCTATAGATATATAGTACGAGATGTTGGCCAATGTACACAACTGGTTATAGAATAACAGCCAAAGGTTACAGAGGACCACAAACCAGCACGTCGATGAAATGTTGACGAAATCAGCTAATGCAGGAGTGAGATGGATTGTGTCATTGCTGAACTGTGAGGGATGTAGAGTGTGGGGAGGACTTCATCCAGCAGTGGATAGTCCATGGCTAATGAGGATGTAGAAACTTAATGAAACCAAAGCATACTGAAATCAGGCAAGTGAAGGTAGCGTGATGCTTAAGCATTTATTAAAACACTTCGGTTGTGTAAACACAGTACACAATCTGTATACATACAATATAAAGACAAAGAAAACTATTTTATCAAGACATGTAAACACTTGCAAGACACCTTATGGGGCATTTTGTAAAGCATTTGTAAGTTCGGAAATTATATACATACACGTACAGGTTGCAACTATTTATATACATGTTAAATGCCCGCATTTTTGTAAGTTGTACAAGAGCATTGTTGAATTCAGTAAAACGCAAGTTGAAACTTGGACCGTTTTTTCCACAAGCACGTGTGGTGAATGCAAACTTAATGCCTTGCAATGTGTCTACTTGATGTTTGAACATCTTAACACCCGTATGTATTGCCAGAAAGGGTACATCCTATTTATTTTTCACATGTTCGTGGTTCATTCCAAATGATCCCAGCGATTGTAAATTAAACTTTTCACTCGCTTTTATTCCAAGCGTTAAAAGAGCAGTGCATCGTCTTTATTTTCTCTGCGAAATATAAAATGTTCCAACGTTTTTTCCTCCAGAGTTTACACTAAAAGTGTGAAAACAGACGGTGTTGCCCATTCACTGAAATCGCTTTATTTAAATCCTGGTTAGGTGGAGGTTTATTAATGTTGTAAGTCAAGCAAAAACACATCTGAATACGTTGGTAGTGGTCACACGTTTTTGTAAACATTATGCAAGTGGTTTTGGATCGCAGTCACCGACGTCTGTTTAACTGGAACGCCCTCTAGTGGATTAGTATTGAAAATCTTGTTTAAAACGAGCTGCAGAAGTAGCTGGGAAAAGAAAAAAAATCCTCATTGGATTCATCATTACCACTGCCTTATAATAAATAAAATATTAACTAAATATATATAAATATATATATATAACATAGACTGTACTAGGCATCATCCTATTGAGCATTGGTCCTTCATTAAAGCAGATTAGGCTAAAATGTCAGCATTTTTTCGAATTTTTTTCTGTTATAAGGCAGTATTAATTACAAATGTGGCATGTTATTAAATTTGTGCTTCGGCACCACTGCCAAACTAATGCTTGATTGTTTGCATGTAGTCGAGTTTGCAAGCTCGACATACTTTGGCAAGCGCATGGCCTAACGGTTGCGCATTTCGCCGCTCATTACGAAGGTTCACGTTTCGAATCCAGCGGCCGCTCCTGTTAAGCAAAATACACTTGAAACTTGCATAATGAAGTGAACAAAACTGTCCCTGAATGAGTAAATATCAAACACAAACCATCAATAACAATGCAATTTGAAAAAAGCCATGAAGAGATGTGGTCACAACGAGAAAGCTGCTTGAGAAAAACCTACTTTAAAAAAATGTAGTTCCCTCATACAGAGCACATGAATGATTCACAGCTTATTTTAAGTGCAATCTATATTTTGAGGAAAGCCTCACATTGAGGGGTCCAACTATGGGATTGTTTAACCACTCAGGTTAGAACCTGAATAAAACAGTAGATAGATAGATATTTTAACAAAGAGTAAACAGTGTTTTTTTAGAAAGTAGGTTTTCGCAGCCACTCCTAATCCAAATGTGGTTTTCCAGGGAAGGCCGCAGGGTTGAGCTCAACACGCTGCCTAGTCCAGAAAGCCACACCGGATAGTGGCTTTTAAAATCTGGACCGCTTGAGACGCGTGCCCTGAGTGTGCGCAGACCCATGGCCTCTCTTTAGGAGGCTCAGAGCTTGGCCAGTGGAGGCAGTGGCACGACTGCCGGAGGTCTGTGCGGCGCACGACAGGGTGGCGATGAGCTGCAGGTTTCCGCAAGCCTGCGCCACCTCCAGCGGGGTTTGGCCTGCATGGTTCCTCATGCTGCGGGAGAACATGCGGACATCACCGTTCATCAGGACAGCAGTCCCCGCTAAACCATTCCATTGTATTTCAAGCACAATGCATGACACTGCATAGATTTTGACGGATGTGCTGTCATTTCCTAAAGAAGCACGTGGACACTGGAGGAGCCAGTGGGGGGGGGGGGGGGGGTGGCACGTGCCCCCCCAATGATCCGATCGAAAACCGTAATTTCGATCGGATCATTGCGGTTTATTAGTAATAAATCGGCATTTTGCGACCCCCACTGCCACTGTGTAGCATATTATTATGTGCCAGAGACTCGGAGATGATGGGACAATAGTCCGAATCCATAATTGGCAATAAGTAACGGCAAAGCAGTTATAAGTGACTCACAGAATTGTGCGCAGTTGCGTATACAGTACAAGACTTCCCTGAAGGCATTCCTTCAGCGAGCGCGATGCCGATCACACACGGTTCGAATTAGACCCTCGATCGATGGCTGCACCATCGCCGCACACGCAACAAAACTGACACCGTTTTTACAAGGAGTCATGTTTGCATAGACCACAACACCTGCAGCCATAATGCAAACAAAAAACATAACTCTGATAATATATGCACTGTCCTTGAAGTTGATTGGTCCACACCCGAGACAGCTTTCCTTAGAGCCTAGTCTCACATGGGTTGGACCAGATGACGCCAAAAGGCGCACAAAAACGAAAAAACGAGCTTTATAGCTCATTGCATTTCTCCCAGTATCAATAAAAATTCCGACTCTGTTGTGCAGGAAACTCACTGTAGATGGGCCCCGCATGACAGGAGGAGCCCCACGCACGCTGCACTGCCCGATCGCACAGCCTTGTGCATAACGGTCTCGCCCACATGATCCTGGGAAGAAATGCACACTTTACGACCAAGCACTGCACACAGACGAGAACTCTGAACTGCATGTCGACCTGACTAAGGTACAGGCATAATACAGTGACCGTTCAGTGTTGCTGATGAGAATTGCAGCAGCAGGAGCTGCCTGCCAGACAAGAGACGGTTCAATCAGGTTCAGATACCAAGTTGCCACCGGTGTTGTGCATCACGGCTGGGAGTCGAACTTAGGTCCCTGGGATTGTGGTGCAGTTTTTTTTAAATCACCAAAAAATAACCCTTCCCCAAAAGCGAACCTCGACATTTACGAAAGCTTCTCACCTGCGAGTTGACGTCGCTGCCGGCCTGCAGGAACATGAAGAGGCCATGCGCGTGCCCTCCTCGAGCCGCGAGGTGGGCCGGCGTGTGCCCTGCCGGGGCCGCGTCCCAACTATCGCTGGGCTCCAGCAAGCGGGACACAGCCAGCGGCTAGCAAACAGGGAGATGGAACATAACGAAACGATAATTTTTTGGTTAAATAATAGATACACAAGTCCGGCAAGTAACAAAATTAATTCCTTCACAGCTCAGACGTTTGTTATTATGGAGCTTACTATGAACAGTATAATGATTTGTGAGTTAATTATGTATATTCTTAAAGTTGAATTTACTACATTGTAACGAATTAAATTCACTCCTTTAACCCAACTTACTGATATGGCATTGGGAGGCCTTCATTCAGCAGTGGAGTAAAGGGGAAACTGATGATGAGATAGGTTCATTATCAAACTATGTCAAGTTACGTTGGGCATTTAAAAATAACGGTGGTGCAAACACAAACCCACATATACTTTCACTTTAATTTCAACCACAAGGTGAACGTCAGACATTTATTTGTAAATATGTATTAAGCATCACTCAAAGATGCGATATACATTTTTTTATATTGAAAACATACATGCCTCGCGGTTAGGCTAAAGCTGTACTGCTTACACACACACACTGCTCAACAGTCCATCTGCAGCACGATACACGTAGTCTTTTGTTATTACCACTCTTAGATGAGGTCCTCCTATAAAGATCCGTGTAGAATTCCTGCACATTCATTATGATTCCATAATACTCTAGGAAATATTATCGTAGTTATGATTTACCAATCAGTTATGATTTACCAATCATAAACTTCATTTTTGACAATTTATTGCCCCCATTGCTTGGCATTCGTGAGCATCTTCAACAATTTAAATTATGAATACGGTATTTAAATATTGTCTAAACGTTAGTTTTCAACGTGGCAATCAGGAAGGCTCTCCTGGTTAAAGAAAAGACAGTAATTCAATTTCACAGCCCCTTGTCAATCCACTGCTGGATGAGGCACCTCCCCACGCCGGCGGTGTCATTGGGAGTTGTCCTGCCACACATACTTGGTGAGCATAGACTTGGGGGCATACACAAGTCGAGTACCGTACAGCAAAGGATTTGCTGCGCACTACCACCTGCTGCCCATCACACAGCTAGCAGCCCACAACACCCACCCAAAGTGCTATATCCAGATTGAAGTCTTCTTCTGGGTTTGCGAGATGTGACAAGATTGAACGCATGCAGTGTGACATGTGGTCATAGGCGCAGCGTTAACTCGACGGAATAAATCAGGATGCCTTCACCCTGAGCTTCCACCCCAACTGTTCCGCCTGAATAGAGGTCGTGTCCAAGTTAAAAATACCCAATCCAGTTTGTATCTCGCATGCGTAGAGCTGCCCCACATTTAGTGATGCAGATAGGGGTCTCATTGATACTTAACGGTGGTAGTTAATCCGCAGGCATTTACACAACCGGTGTTCGATTTATTGTAACGTGTTATAAAACTAAACTAGATTCAATAACCGACGGGAATTCGACAACAGATAAACAAATCTTCCTCCTTAAATCGTAGACAATTGGCGGGGTTCATCACTAAAAAGGCAACTTATATTTACATCAGCCCATGAATATTCGGCACAAGTCCTTTCCAGCAGTATAAGCTGCAGTCATGCCATGGGTTTCTGCTAAATGCTGCTAGAAAACATTTGGTTCCGAGCTCCAATGGACTGATGGACCCTAACCCCACAATGTGTTTATAAATCCCCATGTTGATATAAAGCCACATTGTCTAATATTTCTCACAAACCACCAATGCTTTCAATACGTGTTTTGCCCTCACGAAAGCTCTAGAGACAATGAACTCGCCTGTATGTATTACGAACTTATTTGGAACCGTGCTAATCGGGAGGTGTAATTCTTACGATTGAAAACCAAGCACAACACTGCAAATCAGTGCAACACTTCTTGAGTTTGATGCCCTCTTACCTCGCCGTTGTACTCGAGCAGAAGCATTCTGTCTTCGTCACTGCCCCTGTACGTACAAGATGTACTAAAACCTTCGGTCAACCACCCCTGGTCGGATTCCAACACGGCTCCTCCACCGCCACCCTCCGCATCAATAACAGCCACAGGTCGCACGTGTGCCCGGCCTTTTATATCTTAGACGCGAGTGACGTCACGCGCGGGGGCGTGACCTACAGTGGCTGGCTGAAGCCCCGCCCACAAAGGCGTGGTTTTGGTGAGGGGGCGTGCTCTCGTCTGGAGGTGTCAGCCAATGGGAGGCGGTGGGCGGGGCTTGGCAGGTCCACGTGGCCGAGCCTACGTGCGCTGGCGCGCGAACACATTGGGCTCCTTGGGTTTCAGCTGCACGCACTTCAAGAATCAGAATATTTAATTTAGGGGCAAATACAATTCTCACTGTGAGAATTGTATTTTATTATGTTTTATTCTTTTATTATTTTCCTTCTACGTGACTTTACCGAAAGAACCGAGAAGTTGAATTTCTGCAGTCACGAAAGCTTTAAATCGATATTAATTTATAGTGGAGGAATACGATGAGTTAGAATGCTCTCTTTCCCCACAGATATTCCAGTAGGGGCAGGTCAGAACATTACAGCAACATACAATACAAAAACTCGAGTACAGAGTATACGAAAGGTAAAAAAAAACTTTCAAAAATACACGTAAAACTAAACTATGTTTTATCTTACCAGGTAAAGCCCACTGAGCTATAAGCTTTTTTTTCAGAAGCGACCTGGCCACAAATGATAGCCCAGCGAAGTATAAAACCTGTTATCTAACAGGGTGGGTCCTTGCCAATAAACATCTGGCAAGCATTCCAGAAGGCCGTGTGTAGCTGATGGGATCTGAAAAAACATTGCTTTTATTTTCTCTTTCTACGTGACTTTACCGAAAGAACCAAAGAGTAATTGCTTTTATTTTTTTCTGTGGAGGGACAGATTTGTGAAGGATGTGTTGCTTATTCTTGGTTCTTTCGGTAAAGTCACGTAGAAGGGAAATAATAAAATAATCTAAATATAAAACAATAAAAATTCTCACGACGTTTCGACTGCAACACAAGCAATCATCATCAGGTGTGTAATCCACAGCAATTTTCTTGCTGTGGAGAACCAAGAATATGAATCCATGCAGTCACGAAAGCTTTAGATCAAAAGATGTGTTTGCTTGTTCAGTCAATTTTTTTAACACGTGCATTACTTTATACGTCAGTTATATAACAAGTCCTCCAGAATCGCCAGAGGTCTTCCTGAATATGCAGCCGTCCTCCAGAAAACCCCCAGCTGGTATTTCAGAACTGGCAGAGAGTATGGTAGCTAGCTGCCTTCAAATAGAGGGCAGGTTGTCTTCCAGAAGTTGCAGACGTCTTCCAGAAGTTGCAGACGTCTTCCAGAAGTTGCAGACGTCTTCCGGAAGTTGCAGACGTCTTCCGGAAGGACACCCACGTGCGTCGTCTCCCCGGGCAACGGCGACGCCGGGCGGGCGTTGGGCACAGACGACTCCTTCATTAGCGGTCATCGCTGCTGCTCCACTCCTATCAATCAGCCTGAGGACAACCTCCTGCTGGCCTCTCTCCAGTATCGATCACTCTCCAATATCCTCAGTCGAGCAGCCGAGCAGACGCCTCCCGGCTCACACGGCGTCGATGTTGGTGACCAGCCACGAAAGCTTCAAATCAAGATTGAAATCAAGATTGACCAATTAGGTAGTTGGTGATAGTGCTGGGAACTCCACGTTAATGTGGCGGGGGTGCAGGATAGCATTGTGGTACAGTACTTATTTTATAGACCGAGGAAGGGTGATGATTGCCAGTCAATCCCCTCCTCCACCCACCGATTTCTTCCATTTAGGGGTTCTTAATAACTTTTCAGAATTCAAGAAACGTGTAAACTCTTACCTGTTACAACTTCAATACGCGTGTTGTTTGACGTTCTGGGCCTGTGCTCAGTAACTGTGTTTAAATAAGAGAACCAAGCTGCTAAATAAGCGAGGTCGCCTGTTAGATGTGGTAATCAGCTTCGCACTCGGTAATACAAGTGTGTTGATCATTCATCGTGTCATCCCGTGTCATCGTTATAGTTTACAACGACCTGATCGTACAGAACATTTAGCTAAAGGCAATGATTCAGAGGTGTTCCTGAAAGTGGTCCGCCAAAGGTGATTTGACTACCTAATCTGCCCTCGGGTAATCTAATAATCTTCATAGGGATACATACTGATGCTTGTATGACCGTCTGAGAGGTTGTGTCGTTCGTTGTTAACTCTCGTCGTGAAGATCAGTGTTTACGAGTTTTATTAAGCCCCGTATTGTTTCCTACCTTGGTGGCTGGACGTTGTTTTATTGTCACTTGAACAAGGGCCTTTAACTCGAGTAAATACACGTGCACGAACTCGATATCAACCACGTGATGATTTCACCCCACGATGTTCTGAACACAAGCAAATCTTGCTGTGCCGAGAATTCCATTGGAATTGAAAGCAGAGATATATATTGCAGGTTCGAATTTCGACGACCTGTCCAGTCTTGATTTCGCGTGTAACACGAGCCCAGCTCTGATCTCTCTCTCTCTCTCTGCCTTCACAGGGCTCCGACTGCTCGCCATGGCGATGAACCCTGAACTTTTGCCAAATCCGACACTCATCAGTGGCCACGGTAAGGGATGGCTCCGTCAGAGATGAGGTTCAGTGGCCCTGTTGCACAATGCGATGTTTGTCTTAATGAATGTAACTGGCCACAGTTAACCTAAAGCACTCTAGGGGCATCAAACTCTTCATAAACATCGTCGTCTTTTAAATCTGGATTGAAAACGTATTTCTGTCTTAACTGCTTTTTTGTTTTTAGTTCTTCCCCCGTTCCTCCGATTAGCACGCTTGGCTGTGTACTGTGTGAAAGAAGTTCAATGCATAGTATTGTACATACCTCGTCATTGTCATGAGCATCACGACCCCCGTGGCCAAGAGGCGCAGGTGAATTGGCGTGGCTCAGCGCAAGCCCTGAACTCACTGCCTCTCAGCTCATTCGTGTTGCACTGCGGTACCAGTCACTGTGCTTGCACGTTTACGGTGAAGGGCACCTTTGCCCAGCCCTGTAGTGTGATATTGATTCTAGATTTGAAGCTTTTGTGACTGCAAGGATTCATATTCTTAGGTTTTTTCGGTAAAGTCACGTAGGTAAAACATTAAAATTATTATATTATTTTATTTTACTTTTATTAATTTTAATGTTTTACCTACGTGACTTTACCGAAAAAACCTAAGAATAAGTGTGATATTGTTTAAAGTAGAGCATACAAAAACGAAGGGGCACGGGGGTGAATGGGGCGACGGGGTGTGTGTACAACATAGTCCATGTTAATCTTTGAACAAATGTTAAACGCTTAACGGAATGAGTGAGCATATGATTTGATTTTGTCTATTAGTATTCTGTTGCAGCTCTCAGTTCCCGTTGACTTGAAGAAAGGCTGACGCCCATCGCTTTATGACTATGAGTGTTACATATTTTCCTTTATCAACATTTTTTCGTACTTAATTGTGGGAGTTTAGAAAGGGGGCTGAGCCCTCTGCAGGGGAGATGAAGCCCCATCCATCCCGTCAATGAGACTTCACCCTCCTGCTGATCTGGAAACCACGGTTGGGGGGCTTACTGTCCGTGGGCTGAACGCAGCCCACGATTACATTTCATAGGGGCCACGGTCACACGAAGCCTTCCACATCGAAACGTCCCACAAACGTTATGTTCATCTGTGAATGCAAGCATCTTAGCCACACTTGTGGGGAAATTGGGTACTTGTGGGGAATATTTTTGACAGGGTGCCACCGTGTTTTTTTTTATATTATCGTGTGTGTTATCGTGTAGTCAGAAGTGACTGAGATGTGTGTTATTGTGTGGTTGCCCAACAAATGTATTTAGAAGTCGCATTCTGCCCCTAAGTAAGGAAAGAGTTCTCGGCTTGTTCTAGAATTCTATGACCACTGGTCTCAACAGCAGACTGCGGTGTCTTAGGTTGAATTGTTTTAATCTGAAACTTTTTCCCTCCTGTAACTAAATTCGTGCTGTGCCCAGGACACATCATTTTATTTTTATGATGAATAATTTAAAATAAGTTCATGTGATTATAGAAGGTGATGTATTTGGTCCCTATGTCATCATCATTACCACCATCAGCAGCCATTGTTTATCCACTGCTGGATGGAAACCTCTACATTCCGTCACATCTCTTGTGCATGAGCTTTCCTCTCGGGTTTGTTGTCTCCTTTGGGTGCCATGCCATCACCATTGGCCATGATTTATTCCAGCCATGACTGCAAGTCGAATTCATCATGTAGCGTTGTGGTGGGTATCAGAATGATGTCTCTGAGATACACTCCTTGGTAAGTTCTAAGTAACATCGGAGCGTTGTGTTCGATGTCAGATTCGCCGCGTGAGGTGGACGACGCTCTGAGCGAGGAGGAGCGGGAGCTGCTGGCGAGGGTCAACGCCGGAGACCAGGAAGCGCGTTTCCTGCTGGGGCAACTCTACTTCCACAAGGTGATGGTGCCACAGTAGCAGCAACAGTGATCCACCACCTAAAGCCTGGGTCACGAGAGGGTGATGTGCATTCGCGATGGCGCGGAGCAGCAAAATTACTTGGGCGAGTGCAAGTGGCTCAGTCGTAGCATACTCACCTTCGCCAGCAACAGTCGGATGGTGTGTCAACATCGACACTGGTGAGACAAAGGCCGCCAGGCAGCCTCCACAGGTGTTCGCTAACGACAGCATGTGAAAAGGCTACACAGGGAATTATTTTATTTGTACATTCATATTGTGTGTGTGTTAATAATGATAGTTGAATTAATGTGGTTTTATGCCATTCTTATAGCATAAGGCAATCACGGAAGTGTTGTGTCTCTTAGACGGATACTGTTCATCTGCCAGGAAGAAGCGATGTTGGTAGTGTAATTCCAAATTAGTAATTTTCACGTAATTTTTCAAATGTGGACCATAGAGTCGGAACACAATGGCCTACTCGTTTCAAATTACATCTTTAATGTCCATTATCCACTGTGATGCGGATGGCGTATATTTGTACAGTTAATACACCTGCAGTAATAACCAGGGCGGCTTGCCGGGTTTGAACCGTGAACTTCTGCAACAGCGAATGCGCTACCGCTTGGCCATGTCACCGCCGTGTGGTGTGCATGTCGGGTGAGTGTCCGTGCGTGTGTTTTGTGCGATCAGGGACGTTTCGCGTGCGCTCGCCTTCACTTTGAGGTTGTGAGCCACACGGACGCCCGGGCGCTCTACCAGCTCGGGGTGATGCACTACGACACGCTCGGGATGCCGGTCGACCTCGTGAGACAGACGCACACCTCCACACACCCCGCAGACACAACCACAACCTCCCCTACATCATCATCTACATCATTAATGATTATCATCATCAGCATAATCATTCGTTGCCAG